TGGTTTGTGGAAGGTGTCTGTAGTAAAAGCATTACAATTTAGTGTCTCACCATCATTTTTCAAGGCAGTAGCAGTAGAATAAGTTGTACCTTCTTTCCTCATACCAGCTTGCCCCTCCGCTGGCAAACTGAGGCCTTGTCCCTTCATGCACAAAATAAAAGTTTACAGCTCAATTTATGAGTTCTACCTTTACAGCCCAGAGAACTTGCATAATTCTTGGGGAATATCAGGCATCCCACAGAGTTGATGCAAACAGAATCCAAAGCAGAACTTTTCATATTGCATGAAAAAGTTGTTAAAGAAATGGAAAGGTGTGTTTTAAATCCTGCCCTCTCTGCCCCTGAGATTTACACACCTCACTCAGGGCTGTGGGCTGGTTTTGTTCACATTAGCCCAGCATTCCTAAAGACAGCTACCCAAACCCTTCCTTAGGAACATCTGCAGTAATAATTCCTATATTTTAAAGCACTACAGAAGAAACCACTTTTTTCTTTTATACTTCTTAATCACTGTTGAAGTACATGCTATATATTTTTACGTTCACCCATAAAACTGCAGTGATTGCAAGGGTGCTGTTTTACTATGTGGGATACAAAAGTGCTCTTAAAATCACTTATTTGTGTTGTATTGAAGCAGAAGAGTGGCTTCTCTGGGTGCATTGGAAGTTAAAAAAAAACTCCCAGTGTATTTTCAGAAAGCCATATGTTTCCTATGTGTTGGTTTTTTTTACTCCCTATGTATCCCGTGATTGTGCAGTCAGTGTTAGTCATTTGGGCCTTAAATACCAGTCATAAAGAGTGAAAAGTGGCCTAGTTTTAGAACTCCTTCACAGCAGTGCATCTCAGATCAGTGGACTGGTTTTTCAGATAATTAAATTTCTTCTTATTAGAGAAGTTCTTTATAAATACTGTAGAAGTTTCTTACTGAAGGTTATAAAACTACCTAATAACAAATAGATGTTCTAGTAAACCTTGAATATCCACGGTCAAATGTTAAGCAGAGAAGATCTTTGAGTAGCAAAATTGGAGTACAACGATCAGTTTTTATCTGAACAGCAGCAGCTCACAGGATCTGAAGGCCACGTGCTGCTCTTATTTTTACAACACCCTATTCTTGCCCTTCTTTGTGCCAAAATCTTTTTCTTTTTGAAAATTGAATTGAGACAGGCCTGATAAAAAGCCTTTCTTCTCTAAAGTTAAAAAAAAAAAACCAAAACAGAAAACACCAAAATGCACAAACACATACAAAAACCCCAAATCAAAACCAAACCAACCAGCCTTAAAAAGTGATTTGAAGCATAAATCAAATTTAATGGTAAGCAACTGTATGGCTTATAAAACCCATTCCCGGGTCCACTGCCCTTACATAAAACCTGCAGAGAAACATGTCATTTTTATTTGTTTAAATAATTTGTGCCTGACACATTCCTTTGAATATTTACATTCTCAAATTCAAACTTGAAAATTGAGAATACTTTTAGGCAACAATCATGCTGTATTTTAGAGTCAGTCTCACTCTCTTCTCCTTTATCCATGATTATTTATCCTCTTCAGTGAATTTCTAGGAGGAATTGCTGTTATATTTGTGAAAAATCTGAATGAGTGAGGCACTTTTCACCACTGTTTTCCAGTAGCATTCAAGAAATAGTGATGTGATAAAGGAGAACTTTTTTCTTTTCTATGTTACAAAAAGAACCCAAATAAACCCCCCCAAGGCCTGGAGCAGAGGTTATTAATGGGTAACAGAAAAGCTTTCTCATTTCATCAGGTAACGAACATTCACAGAGCTGCCGTTAAGTCCTAATGAAGAAAATGTCCCTTCATCAGATAAAAAAGTTAAATCTATTTTATTGATTTCTTTAAAGTGATATGTCTGAAGAATCCTAATTCATTAGTAGCAAAACTCAAAGATCTGAAGAATTCTGTATCATTTTCTTATTATTTGCTGTGACAGTGGCAGAGTTTTTTATTATGGAAATTAGCTGGGTGGGAACTAGATGATCTTCCAGACCATCCTATGGTTCTGTGGGATTATTTCACAACCTAGCAATGACAGGCAGTAACTTAAACTCATTAACCTGTTATCTGCTACCAGTCAGATATTTACTAATAACAACCTAGACGACAGGAAGGCAGAATACAGTCTGACTGCATTTTCCAACCCTAAAGGCGAATGTCAGATAAATTCTTTACAGGTAGCAAACTTCTCTATTTAGCAGTGATTTTAATGTACTGTTGATATTGTTTAAGCAGTTACACAATCAGCTGGGCTCCTCTAATTGATGTGTTTCCAGATAATATTTGTAGATATAACTTGGCTGTAAAGGCATCTGAAATTACAGACTATCCATCTTTCTTCAGCAGTTATTCTTGTACAAATCATAAGATGATGAACTTCCTCTCCTTGCTTTCAAGCACATGGAAACAGCTCCAAAGCACTGTATTGCTGGTGGCAATGTGGTGTAATTACCATTAGCCAGCTCGTAACTCGAGGGACTTTTCCTGGTGTGATTGCTTGCTAAATCCAGCAGTTCTCTTCCAAAGCATTTTGGTAACGAGGCAGATCAGTGCTTTCAGGCAGATAAAGGTTAAGCCCTTCACAGTTTAGAAAGACACAATCAGATCTAGATACTGTCATCTGTAAACATGAGAAGACTGCATTAAACAGGGTGCCAGACTCTGCCAAGGTCAAACAGCAAAGTTCCTCACTCAGATCAGCACAAGAAAGAAATAATGCCACTTTCATTTCTTTAATTTGATTGTAAACTTGTGATTGTGATCTCAATTCTTAAAGAAAATTCTTTGTAAACTTTGTGCCTAAAATTATTTTGATCCATAGAGCTTGAAAGGCATGATAAGAAGCTGACTCTAAAATGAGGCCTTTTTTATGTAATATATCCTTTACATGGTCAAATATTTTATTGTATTATTGGATCACAAAAAAACCCATGTAGGGTTAATACTGTCACTTGAAATGTAGGAAAGAGACTGATCTTTCATTTGAAAATGTTGGCAGGTTTTGGTGGGGTTTTTTTAAGATGGCAGTTCTCCTGCTGCAGTGTAATGAGCTGAGAATTACTGTGAATCAAAAAAATGAAAATATTCTATGTAGCCAATGTAATAATACTTCAGCCTAATGAAGAGCACTTGTGTTTCAGTGATGATGGGAACACAAGGAGAAAGCTGCAAGGGTAGTGCATGAGCCCTGCAAATTAAAGCAGCCAGCAGTTTACCCATTCTGATCCCTTGCTGTTCATTCCCCTCATCTGCTCATGCAGCCACACCCGTTTCTCACAGGGGCTGAAGCTGTGCTGTGAGAAACCATGGCTTGATGACCATGTGCTCTTTTGAGCTGACTGGAATAACATGTTCTGTGCTGATAACATGCATGGATAAAGCAGTATGAGAGTGCTCCTGTCAGTGCTATCATTGATATTTATAGACTAGGTTAAAGTGTTGATGGTATGAGTATATTGAGATCACATAACCCAGACTGTGTCCAGAATATATGTAATTCTCATTTGTGAGAACAACAAAGAATTCCCACTCTGACACTCTTGCTGGCCAGCATTTGTAATTTCTCATTGATTGTACTGTACAGGATGTGACAAAATCATGCTAAGTGGCATGGAAGTCTCAGGAAAAAAAACATGCCAAGTTCCCCATTTCCATGGTGTAATCCCTCTGTAGTTCTGAAGCCTTTATAACAACTTTCAAAGACTGATTTCACCTTTACATTGTAGTTCAGTTCTAGAGCTTTCTCCAGTATTGCTTTCTCACTATTAACAGCTTATCACACCACACTTACTTTGGAAGCAATTCATCCTGCAGGAACCATTCCTTTGGACACTGGAAAGCTGTTCCTCAAAAAAAACAATATTATAGACACATAGAATGGCCTGGGTTGGAAGGGACCTTGGAGATCATCTTGTTCCAACCCCCCTGCTTTGGGCAGGGACACCTGCTACTAGACCAGGTTGCTCAAAGCCTCATCCAACCTGGCCTTGAACACTTTGAGGGATGGGGCATCCACAGCTTCTCGGGCAACACCTTCCAGTGCCTCTCCACTCTCACAGTGAAGAATTTCTTCCTAAGATCTAATCTAAACCTGCTCTCTTTCAGTTTAAAGCCATTCCCCCTTGTCCTGTCACTCCATGCCCTTGGAAAAAGTCCCTGTCCAGCTCTCTTGCAAGCCCCTCTCAGGTACTGGAAAGCTGCTCTGAGGTCTCCCCAGAGCCTTCTCCAGGCTGAACGATCCCAGCTCTCTCAGCCTGTCCTCCTGGGAGAGGTGCTCCAGCCCTCTGAGCATCTTGGTGGCCTCCTCGGGACTCGCTGCAGCAGGTCTGTGTTCCCCTTGCACTGGGAGCCCCAGAGCTGGATGCAACACTCCAGGTGGGGTTTCCTGAGGGCAGAACCTTCCTTGACCTGCTGGTCACACTGCTTTTGGTGCAGTCCAGGAGACAGTTGGCTTTCTGGGCTGCAAGAGCACATTGCTGGGTCATGTTGAGCTTCTCATCCACCAAGAATCCCAAGTCCTTCTCCCCAGGGCTGCACTCGATCCGTTCTCCATCCAGCCTGCATTTGTGCAGGGATTGCCCTGACACAGGAGCAGCACCTTGTCCTTGGCCCTGAATTTTGTGATGTTCACACGGCCCCACCTCTCAAGGCTGTCCAGGTCCCTCTGGATGGGGTCCCTTCCAACAGCACCACACAGCCTGGGGTCATTGGCAAACTTGCTGAGGGTGCCCTGGATCCCACCGTCCCTGTCACCGAACCCTGAGGAACTCCACTCATCATATGGGGCAGTTCATCACCTCAGGATATCCTGGGTTCTCTGAAACAGCACCAAGAGCACTTCTGTGACATTGTAAATTGTGTCTCACTGTAGATTAAAACTGAGAGGTTGGAGGGGGTTGTTAAGATATACAGACAAGCAGATAGAAGAAGAAATGCAAACTGTGCAGAATATCCATTTCAACTTATCAATTGCTTAATTAACAGGAGGAGGATCAGTCAAGTTTTTCTGGTTATGAGAGCACAGGAGGTGAGTTCCTTTTTCGGTGTTAATTGCCGTTTAATTTTGAAACCTTTGATTTCCCCTGGTATTTAAATGGTTACATAGAAGGCAAAGTAAATTCAGGATATTTATATCGTGAAATTTATTTCTCAAAGTATTTTATCATGTGAATCCTCTTTGAATGCAAATGAAGGTTTGTAGAAGACATTTCTATGCTCTTTAAGCCAGTGGATCCAAAAATATTAGAAGATGCTACTGTTAATCAGCATCAAGTCTCAGAGGTGTTTTCAGAAACTGGCAGTTATGAAAACCTCCTTGGGAAGTGTGAGGTGCTGAGAGTCCAAGAGGAATGAAAGGATTAATCAAAACTTTTCATGCCTAGTGATATTTTGTAATAAGGCCACATAATAATGTGTCTTGTAAGTGATTAAGTCCAAGACAATAAAATTTCATCAGCTCAAATGGTGCAAGATCACCTTCTGTACTGGTATACATCGAGATGTGTCTGCTTCTCTCTTTTTTTCCTTTTTTCTTTCTTTTTTTAAAGAACAGATGTGTATGTGCAAGGTCTAGTTTTCAGGTAAAATATATTTATCATATCTGCAATGAGAATTATGAAACTGGGAGATTACTAGGCTTGTGGATGATAGCTCCTTTTGGAATGCAGAGCATTGTAGCAGAAGGTAAACGTGGTAAAATCAGATCCCCTTGCAGGAGTGTTACCCAGTTCAGTGTGGTAAGCAGCTGACATAAAAATTAGTAGGTCTTGCCAACTAAAGGATTTTTATTTTCATTTTAGACTTTTCAGAAGATCTGAGGAAATCAAACATAATTTTTGTTGTTGGTAAGTAGGATTCCTGATTTAACTGCTACGTTTGAAAATCCCCGTGTTTTTAGCTTTGATTATATGATTTCTTTTAAAGTTGAGCAGAATAGTTTGGTGGAGAATATTTATGCTACAGTGATGGTTTTGTCTTTTGGAAGGGAGTTAGCATTTAATTACATGTCATTAACTTGGGTCTGACCATGCTAACAACAGTTGTGTAAAGCATAAACTTTGAGCAGTCTTTTAAAACAAATTCTAACAAGAAGAATTACAAGTTTGATCTTAAAGCTCGGTACTAATCACTTGGAAAGAACAATTGCTTTTGTATCAAGCAGTTTTCAGAACTACCTTACAATGCAGAGCAGGAACAACATATTTCCAAGGTCATAAGGATAGATACCAGAACATGGGGGATTGTACATAAAAGTAAGTCAATTTGTGCATTCTTTTTCCTAATTAAAAAAAAGCCACACTTCCAAAGCTAATAATAAGTGACTGTCAGTTAGGAGCTGAAATCTGGTAGCAGTGAATTGTACAAGAATTAAAGAAAACCCTGAAGAAACCTCACAGGAGCATAACAAAACTGTTGGGGGTGGGGGGAGAGGAGAGGTAGAAAAACAAGCCCCCCAAATTGTCAGTGGTTAAGTTGCAGTGGGCAGCACTGGGGATGTTCAGCCCATGATACCTTGGCTGGAAAGAGAGAAAGAAGATGGGTTGGAACAGGCTTCCATGGATACTTGAATGGCAAAAACTGCCTTGGTCTCAGGTGCCATTAGATGTATTCATGAGGAAATAATAAGATGCTTAAAAAGATGTTTTAAAGTGTGAGATTTAAAGATGTACATTTGAGGTAATTTACAGACTAATCAAAATAAATGCACCATCTGCCATGGCTGACAGATACTGTTTATAAGACAAAAGATAAAAAACAGGCAGTTTCCTCCCCCACTAATTACCCTTGAAAATTGTCCAAAAGGGAAAGAAAAAGAAATAATCTAATTAGCAAAGATTTACATTAGGGCTAATGTAGGAATTAATTGGAATAACAGTCAAGTTGGATTAATTAAGCAACCATGTCAACGTTTTACCCAGAGAGTAAAGCAGAGACATAGAACCAGCAAGTGAAAAATACAGGAGATAAGAGCAGGATAATAAAAGAGGCAAAACTAAGGTAAATTTGGCCTGTAAAGTAAAATTCCAGAGCATAAAAATAAAACCCACAGAGATGTAAAAATAAATTTGGGCGATGCTGTAATACTCAAAACTTATGTAATTATTGCCAGCCATTACAAAACCAAAAAACCACAACATAAAAAACAGCAAAAGATTTTTGTCATCAATTTGAACTGCAGTGAATGACGTCCTGATCAGTGCTGACTGCTGCAGTACTCCCTGCTGCAGCCACAAAACTGTCACACACAACAGTTGCTGGGGTCATTGCCCTTCCCTGTCCTCTCCAGGAGGTTCATAAAACAGAGCCACGTTTGGCTTTGGTTGAGGCTGGAAGTGGAACGGGAGGTCTTGGGAATCTTTGTGCCCTTTGGATCAGAAACAAACTCCCCACTGACTCGTAAATGAGGTGGTTAAAGCTCAGTCAGTGTAACCAGCTTCCTCTGCAGAACCTTTGTTATGTTCTTGCTGATGTATTAAAGCTGGTAATTGCTTAAGCTCAGTGTAAGGAAGACCAACTTTTTAGCTGACACTGAAGATATTCTCACCATTGACACTTAGAAATAAGACATTATCAGCTGCAGACAGTAGCTTTCTGTGCATGCACCAGAAATAAATAAATCATGAAACCCAAACTCTTTATTTGTCCAATGTATGTCAGACCTTGAATGATCTAATCTAATTCAATTTATCATTCATTTAGCCCCTGCTTGAGTAGAATGTTTAACCAGATAAGGTCCCTGGCAGCCTAAACTGTGCCACAGTAACTGTATTTCAGAAAGGCATAGGATGAGCAATACTGATAATTAACCCCCCCATCAGCCCCAGCACTAACTGGAGAAGCTGAGGAAGGCTGATTTCCCTGACTTCCCATGACATGAACTTCACATTTTCTTTAAGAAGGATGAAAACTCAGTAATGTCCCAGAACCTCACATCATTCTGCCAACATGTGCTCCAGGTTGTTTTCTGATTAAAATTATCTTTCAGAAAAAAAACCAAAAAACCAACAAAAACAAAAAAAAAGTGTTGAGGGTTTTTTGTTGTTGAGGAGCTATTGAGAAGCCTTCAAATGCCGTATTCTGAAGTTAAGGCTTATTTTTACTTGTATAAATAATACAAGTAGCATTGAAGGTAAAATTGCCACACTGAACAAGTCCTCCAGAATCTTAGCTTGAATGTAGGGACAGATTAACTGGGGTTATTTTGGTTTCAGTTCTGACTTCTGAGGCTCCATTGGTGCAGGTTTCCCCTGCAAGCACTTTTCCATGATACAGGGATGATACTCATTGTGATAACAAGGTCTAGAAATTGAAACATTTTAAAATGAATGGTGGGACTCTCTTGTAAATCTTACTGCTGGCACCTTATGTAAATGTTCATGATATTTTGGTATATGATAAACTTGTAAGATTTAAAACAGAGACATCTCAGTCTGACAGCATGACACTTTTGCCTTATTAACATTTCTGACAGCAAAGCTGGTTCTTGAACTGCTCATATTGCTTGTTCCTGTCCCTGCTCACTCCCAGCAGCAGTCCCAGCTCCCTCTGTCATCACTAAGTCATTGGGTTGTGGTGTTGTGTTGGAGGTCAGAGCAGTACATTTGAGTGACATGCCCAGGCTTCTGGTCCTTCTTGGTCTGGGGGAGGCTGGGGCAGGAGGGAGAACTGAGATCCTTTGCTGATCTCAGGCTGGCTGCAGTTAAATATTCAGAAGTGCTGCTTGGACAAGTGTCACGTCCCCAACCCACTGAGACCACTCCTTTTCTCCCCTTGAAGTGCTCCCTGGGAAGCCTTTCTGCAGTCCATGATTAAACAGGGAAGGGTAACCACCCAAGTCAGCAGCGCTGCCAGAAAGTTATTTACCAGGAGATCCCCTCACACAGGCAGATGAATCAACAGAATGGAAGGGAATGCTGCTCTGAGGGACTGCACAGACCTTTTAATCCAGCCTTGTCTACAGAAAAGCAATATACAGAACTGCATTTAATTTCTGTGCCAGTACCCTGGTTCCACGTTCTTGCTTCCTACTTGTATCACAAACTACAAAGGGAGACACAAAGGATCCAGTTTCCAAAAACAATCGCACCGACTGATACGATGTTTCTAATTTCTTAATCTGCAGTTTTTCTTTTTTGTTGAGTTAATAAATGAGCTTTAAAAAAGCAAGATGTACTGCACTGAGCAATACTAGCACAACACAAAAGCCTGCTAACACTGAAGAACTGCTGGTAGTTCTACATTGTCCTGCAGGTTACAGCACACTCCTAATTCCTCTGGCTGTTTTCCAGGCTTTAGCCCTTTTTACCTTCATGTCATATATAGAAATCAGAAGACAACATGATTAGTCTGAATAACAAGTTCCCAAGAACCATGACATATTTTTTCCAAACTCTATGTAGGCAGAGGATGACAGCACACAGGAAAAATGACAGCGTTCACAAAGAATCTTTCGCCTTCACAACAAAAGTGGGGACGTATTTTCCTCCTGACAGTTGAGCCACTGGGAAAACTTGACTACCTTTTTCAGTGCCTCAAGTATTTGCCATTTGAAAAACAGCAAACCAAGTTGCAGTGGAGCCTTCTTAAACGAAAAAAAATGTTTTGCTACCTTTTGTTTATGCTTCACAGGCATAAACACATAAACTTTGTTCCAAATAAACTTTCTTCAAGTAAATTATTAATCTCTTTCTTTAGAAAAATGCATAGATTTAATAAAAACATCCTCTAGAAGAACAGATACAGTTTTTGCAACACTACAAATTGATAGTGAGCTTTAATGACCACAAGGTTAATTTGCTTTTAAAGCTGCTTATGTAGCAGTCAGGTAAGGATATACCCTAAGCAAGAAGGAAGCATCTGATTAGTAAGAAAATGCACTTTCACGTTCTTTCCCACCAAAATAGCTCTACTTCAGTCACATGAGATACTTCAGAGGGCGACAGGACATTAAATAATACTTTAATTTCAGACATGTAAGTTAATACTGTTGTAAAGGTCAGGTGTGTGCTCAGCCCTCAATGCTGAATTTCCTGGGGAATTCAACCTCTCCTCAGATCAGGCCAAGCAAGAACTGCAGCCTCATTCATTGATAAGAAAGCACAAGACTTGGTAAAAGGGGTCACATAGAATTGTTAAGCAGTAGAATGCTTTGTTACTCGTCAAATGAATCTAAATTATTAGCAGCGGCTATAAAAATTACCATTTTCAGCACATAACATACTTAATTATGTCTTTTCCTCTTTAAAGAGCTCAGCATTTTAATTTCTGCTTTGTTGGAACTCTCCTACAAAAATAAACACGGTCAATTTTAATTGTTCTTTGGGGTGCACACATGGTGTATGGATATGTATTGTGTCATTCTGAAAGTGTTCTCTTTTAAAACACTAACAGACAAGGGTATTAGAAACACATCAACTTTTCTGAATGTTTACCTGCTAAACAACAAAAAAATTTCCTTGTATTGTTATTTCTAAAAAGACATCTAGTTTATTTAGTATACAAAGAGAAACTGCGACATTTCTGGTTGGGCTCTACATCAGGAGAGAAACAGTTACATAAGAAACAGAATAAAATAATCTTTCTAGCTGGTGGGTTTTTTAATACTGTATATACAGACCAAATCAATAGGATTAAATCACTGCACTGCTAGCATATTCAGTGCCAGGAGACAGAATGTGTAAACAAGCACATGCACGCACAAACTTACTGATCTAAAAAACCAAAACAGACCAGAAATACAAGTAATTGCCACTCAGATACTTAATGGACTCATTACAGTTAATTTGCCTGTAATTTCTCCACATCTGTTTCTTTGTAGCCACTCCTATTTTTTTCCTTTTTTCTTTCAACCGGTGCTTTTACAAAACAACAACGTTCTTCATATTAAAGCAGTAGAAGCACAGGATTCAGCCCACGTCGGCAAGAAAAGATGAGCCTGTGACAAAGATAGTTCTAGCAAAAAATTGTAGTACAGGTGTGATTCTCACACCATGGTCTGATAATTGTCTTTGTGAAGTAAAAGACTGCAGATCACAGCAGACAAGCCCCTTCCTTTGATGCTACTGCCTCATGACCCAATTTGTAATCTTAGCTACAGTGCTGTAACTTCTCTGAAAATCACGTGCTCGGAGCAATTATTTCTTAAATTGAATGGAAAAGTTAGAAGAAAATTCACTCTATTGTGACCATGTTATTCCTGCCTTTGTTTGTGGAAAGATAAGCAAACAGGGAAACCATGTACTTTGTAGCATCTTCCTTACACATAGCAGGGCTGTGTAGTCATACTTGCAGTCCCAGCAGCTGATAAATACACGAGTCACATACTGAAAAAACTTTAAGAGCTTGAGCACTGTCTCCCTACTAGGGTATAATTACCTCCTGCTGCAGTAGATCTTCTGAATAGATCTGTCAAAGACTGTAAAATTGCTACTACATGCAGTGGATTTTCTCCACAAGCTCCAATATTGGGGATATGCTTTCCCGCCCTCCCGTCTCCCCTCACACCCCGGCACCATCACGGCCCCTCAGCCCTCAGGGCCTCACCTCAGCTCCACCGCGGCTCTGGGGTCACGGCCACAGCAGTGGCATCCATGACGAGCAGCTTCCAGCAGTTTCCATGGGCTGTCCATCTCTCCAGCAGGGCTGGGGTGGCTGCAGCACCTCGGGAGGCGGCTGAAAATGCCTTTGGCTTTTCATGTCCTTGGCCGCCAGGGAGAGGAGGGAGAAGCACTGAGGTGATGGGCCAGGGTGGGAGAGGGGGTGTCCAGAGCAGCCCCACAGAGGCAGAGCTTTGGGGCTCTCAGGTGGAGACCACTCTCCTGTCCAAGGAATCAGGAGGCTTGAGGCACCATTCCTGTCGGGAGAAAACCCACAGCATTCCCTGGGTCACTGCCCTTCTCCTCCTGCCCTCTGTCTCCCACCTGTCCTTTGGGCAGGGCGGGGGCCAGGTACAGGTGCCTTCCCTCCAACCTGGGGACAAACGACTGAGTGGCTTCACCTGCGTGGCCTGTTGCTGGGGTGCCCGTGACCCTGTGGGTGTTTGGCTCTGGGCAGGGGGGGGTTCCAGCCGAGTACAGCTGCGGATGCAGGAGAGTGGGAACTGGCAAGGTCTCCCTGTGCCCTTGGCAGCTGCACTCCCACGTTTCCCAGGAGCAGGTGTGAAGAGCAAGGCAGCACCACGGCTGCAGCTGTAGTACCTGGTGCTCAGCTTTGGGCAGAGCCACCAGCACCTGAGAGCTTTCCAGCTCAGGGGGAAAGGATGCAAAACTCTGCTCTTATGTTCACCACAGTTACTGCACACCTGCGTGCATCCCACCTGACAGAGGCAGGTTTCACTGGCTCTTTGCCTACACGTTTCCATCCCATAAGTGGGGGCAAAATATTTCCCTCACAGTGATGCAATGAACGTTACTTTTCTACTATTTGTTGCAGCTGTCAAAATGAACATATACTGAGTCAACCACCCTTCCCCACAGGCTGTGTGTTTCATGTTTTTCCTTAACATGCTAATGCTGTTAGGCAGACATTTATTCTCTTCTAATCTAGATATTTTTTTCCTCACAAAGGTGGGCCCGGCTCTGGCAAAGGTAGCCAGTGTGAACAGTTAGCCAAGAAATATGGATTTTCTCACTTGTCCACTGCTGACCTTCTCCAAAATGAGTTATTGTCGTTATCAGAGAGAAGTAAATTGATCAAAGACATCATGGAATGTGGTGAACCTGTGCCTGGTGTAAGCAACAGTTTTATTTGGGGCCCTAAGGTTAAACAAAGGCAGTGGTAGGTAGATTGTCTAAAAGGGTGGAAATAAGATACTGGAGCTGATGATTCCCATTCCAGTAAAACTGATCTGTAACCTGAGGTAGAAGTTTCCTCATTACCAAATCTGGGGCACTTGTTTCTCCTTTCAGTGCCAATATTTCTTTACATTTCAGACTCATATAGGCAGCAAATTAGACATGAAATACAGTGAGACAGACGCATTGCAAAATGTAAGTATAAGTACAGGAAACAGTCCTTTTTATAGCTTTGCATTTCAGATTCAGAGCTGGTCCTCCTGGCAGCTATTCTGAATCACAGTACCTGCAGCAGTTCCCTGCAGAGCTGGCTGACATCCCAGAGTAGCTGGACTGCAGATTAAGGGAGACTGAAGGCAGAGGGTGTTGTTCTCAGCTGGACTTGACTTTTACATGGCAGGTCTGCAGCCCCAGCTCCTGGTGGGTCTTGAGCAAGTGCAGCTGGATCGTGGGATGTGTTTGTTAATGAAACTGGGAAGTGCTGCTCGGGGGAAACTAAAAGCTGTGCTCAGGCTTGATTTTGATTGCTTTGCTCTTCAGTGTGTTTGGTCAGATGGGGTCACTTTCCATGCAGTGTAATTATATCAGTGACACAGCCAAATGCAATCAGATTGGAAAATGCTGCAGCAGTGCTCCAGAATTTCACAGGTATTAACATTCATTTTGAAACTATGAAATATTCCCAGGTACCTAGAGGGCACTTTGAGTGGATTGCAGCACTAGATTTGTGTGGCAGAGCTGGTCTTGAGAGAAGAAAAAACACAAGAAAAGACACCTGCATTCACAGGACAGACTTTTAGCCAAACAGGGCCATTTTTCTGGGGGTAGCACTAGAGTCAGTGTAACAAACAAAGGTATCAATCTTTTTCATTAATTAACCAAATAACTCCCTTTCTTTCCTGTGCAGGGTATTGTTCTAGAGCTGCTGAAGGAAGCCATGGTTTCCAGGCTAGGGGACACAAAAGGATTCCTGATTGATGGGTATCCCCAAGAGCTGAAAGATGCAGAAGAGTTTGAGAGCAAGGTGACCAGATAATTGTAATCCTGTTATAACTCCTGTTCAGATACAACTGTACTTCTGGTGCTGCTTTAGTCCCCATCTTTAGCTGATTGCAGCATGGCCATGAAAAGAGCCAGTCCAGCAGCACTGTGCTGCTCTCATCACTGAAACCTTGGCACCCCATCAACATACCAACTCCAGCTTTTGCCCTTGCCTACAGAGACTCCAGAATACAAGGAGAAGCAGAGGCTGATTGTACCCAAATTTAATGCAAGCCAGGAACAACTCACATTTAGTGGCAAGCACCATTTCAGAATCAGTTTTGTGATTCTAGTGGATGGCACCACACTTCTTAGGAAAACCTCATCTATTTGATGTAGATTCATGAATGTATGTATCTTCCCAGTTAATATTTCTTACCAGTAAGCCAGCTCTGCCAAAGCTTGCTGCCACTTGAAACAGCAAAGCACAGATTTAATTTTTGTGAGGACTAACAGGTGGCACAGCCATAAAAAGAGCGTTCTACAAGTGGCTGCGTGGCACTTCAGGGAGTTATCGATTTCCTCAGGATGTGCTAAGACCTACTGAGAAGTCTCAGCCATGCATTTCTCAGCCTGCAGAAAATACTCTGCATAAGCCCTGTGAATGAATTTGCAGGGTTTAGGAGAAGTGGTGAAGCAGGGAAATCAGTTAAATATATATTCCGCCATGTTACACAGCACAAATGTCCTAAACGAGTTTGAAAGGTAATAAAACTTTAATGAATCACTTGTTTTCTCCCTGAACCTTTAGCTGCTTTATTTAGTTTTTTTGCCACAAAAACCCAGCAAGATACAGGCATCAGAAGCTGGACAAAATAATGGGCGATGGGATTTGCTATTCACAAAAATGTTACTCTAGTTCCTCTACTAAAATGCTGTAGGTTATTAAAAAAACACTGGAAATTTCTTTCATTTTGTGTATAAGGAGCAACTGTTTCAGCAGTGCTGCTTTTCTGGCAGGCATACATGTCATGTCCTGTGAACACTGGTCTGTGTTATGAAGTAGGACTTAGAGGCTGGAGTGTCCTGGCCTGAGGCATTGCCAGGCAAATAAGTCTTGATGCATCCAGTGCAAAAGCAGAGCCCCTTTCATTCCCACAGACACTGTAGCAGCAAAAGATCCTGTAGTCCTGAGCTGCTTTTGACATTTGGAGTAAAATACAGGGACCTCAAGTGATTATTTTGAATGTGCCAGGTCACCCCTGTTGTTCCATGTATCCACTTTTCTCAGGGTGGACTTGGCTGGCTGAAAGCTGCTCGGTGAGGCTGTGAAGCTTTTTTAAGTGAGTCATTATTGAGATAATGCTTTGCAGCTCTTTCTGAAGGGCGATGAGAAGTTCTTCCAAAATTATAACTGAATGAAAAGGGATGCACATCAGGCTTCATTAATTAATGGCAGCAAAGTACAGATGAATAATGCTACATATCTGCATGATGTGTAAAAGGCATTGTAATTGTTAACAAAGAGCTGTTCTATTTAGAAGACACGGAGAACAGTGCTTATACTTCAAAGTTTGATAGCTTTGACTCATGAGCTGTGTAGAAACAGCTTATTCTTCAGCCAGTTTTGCCCAGTTCCTTTCTGTGATACAACTGTACTTTTACCCAGCCATAATTGTAGAGAAGCACACCTCTCTGTTCCCTCCTCAGGCTGGGTGAGAAGTAGAAAACATTATTAAATTATAAGTTCCATATCACCAGGTGGAAAGTACCCAGTAAGACCTGATTGTTTGGCTTCCTGCAGATGTCCCCACAGCATGTATTATGTAAGCTAAATTGTGTTGGGAAAATAGTAATAAAAAAAAAAAAAAACAGTAGTAAAACTTGCTGTAATATCTGACCAGGGCACTACTTTCACATTTTGTAATTTTTAACTTGGAAGAATGACATTTCTATGATTCTGTCTGAATTCCAGATAATAGCAATATTGAAAATTTTAAGAAAACCATATAGATTTTTCAGAAGTGAATCAGACCCTGTCTGTCAAGCAAGATACAGTTATCTGATCCTATCAGTCAGTATATTCCTCACTGTAAGGTGATGATATGACTGTGGCTGGTGAAAGGAATCATTCCCCATTTGTTCTAATTTAGAACAGGCCATGGAATTCCTCACATGAAACCGTGGAGGAAATAACTTCTCACTATCCTAGTCCAGTTACACAAAAAGACCATTTATTTAAATCATTGGTGAAGCCCACATCTTAACTTCTTTGTCTATGTCTCTTGCCCTGTTAAACCTCCTTGTTGGCTTTTTGAATCCCCAAGCCCAGTGCTGCTACTGCTGATAGCATTGATGTTTCCTGGACTGTGTGGAAAAAATGGATAATGTAGATAAGAGTCTGTAATTGAACTGTCCAACATCATCCCTTGGCTTCAGCTTCTCTTAGAAAGTCACTGAGGTCGTAGAAAGGTCAACACAACCCAGACATCCTCAGCCAAATGCAGAAGCCCTGACATGAAATATTTACTTTTGGAATATTTCTTCTTTCCAAGGGCTGTCAACAAAGGTACCAAGGGCAATTTCCATATATCAGTCATTTAGACTTCCTCTGCTGTAGCCATGGTAAAAATATAATTTTGTAATGGTCACTGGTGTGCAGGACAGTCGTCTTTTTTTCAAGACCTCTCACTCTTTCCTAAAAGGTGCTCTCCAAATCCCTACTGGAAAGGGAAGGAATGGAGAAAAAGACTGAGAGTGTCTTTAATACAAAAATGCATGGAAAAATTATCACTTTATTTTTCACTGAGCCCATAACACCTATATTTTACTTGATAGAGTGGCTTTTATCCCTTTGGACTCAGCCCAGCGGTTGTTGCTCCGACAGAACCTTGTGTCAGAGAGCACTGTGCCTGAGCAGGGTGCAGACAGAGTGTACTGCAAGATTTATGCTAAATGACATGCATATTTTTCAGTGTTTCAGGGAAAGAATGATGAGGATTTGTTTAGAACTTCCTGGCTCTCTCCTAAAATATTATAAAGAACTTTTTGCTCTTTCTTGCCAGTTCTTTTTTACCCATAAATACTGTGATATCTACGATCAAATGTAGAGAGAGACAATTATTAACTGTCTCTGCCAGGCCTGAGAATAAAAATAAATAAATCTCTGTGTATTTTCTTTATAGAAAAGAACAGACTCTCCCTCATGACTAGTTTGGCACTAGCCAAGCAGCAGTAAATGGTGGGCTTCTCAGAGAATCTGGCAATCACTTGCCAAATTGAAAATGCAGAGCAATATATCACATCCTTCCTTTATGCCATGGGTTGTGATAATGTGGGTACACTGCAAATAAAGACATAAAATCCTGTGTGACATAAAATAATTCACAGGGTGTATTCCTGTGAACATTTGATGGTGTTCCCGAGCCTGTCTGCTGTTGCCCATTTCCATTTCAAGTGAGCATACTTTAAATTGGACATTTCCTTCTGTTGGGTCTTGGAATTCTAAGCTGTAGTTTATCCCTCCCTTCTCCCAGGCTGAACAAAGCAAAGGCCAGAAAGAGAACTGTGTCAAGTATTCTGTAAGTCCTGCAGTGTTTGCATCAAGCTTTGATTTCACAGTTGCAAATAATGAACTGATGATCTTCAGTCCTAGTAGCCAGACTTTGTCAGATCATCTCTCTTTATCTCTCTGTGTAGGGCCCAGTCAAGCACAGCCTTGATCCTCAGTGCTGGGCTTTCCAAGTGCTGCTACAGTGTGAGGTGTTTGTTAATAACCGTAATTTCTGCATAGACAAATACTATTTGCTGATAAATTCTGTGATGACTCTTTCAGTATTATCCAGAGAAAATCAATTTCCCCAGACCAGTGGTTTGGGAATACTTATTGTTTGACTTTGTCCCTAGGTTGGGGAGCCAAAACTCGTGTTCTGCCTGGACTGCTCTGCAGAAACCATGAGCAGTCGCCTTCTGCTGAGGAACCAGAGCAGTCAAAACTCTGATAACGCCGAGACCATCAAGGAAGGAATCGAGAGCTATTCCCAAGCAGCAAAGCCTCTGATTGCATACTATGAAAGCAAGACACAGTTATGCAAGGTAAACTGCTTGACCTTTCTAATTAAATCATTGCTTTTTGACTCCATTATATAAGCAGTGTTTGGAAAATCCTGTCACGATGCCGTTTATGAACTGTTTCTGCGCTTTTTGTTCTCATTTTGCTCTTCCCTGGTTCGTTTGCAACTTCTATGAACTTCTGAGTCCCACAGTGCAGTTTGAAAGAGCAAAATCACAGATTTATGCTTAATCTGGGAACGTATCCTGAATCACTACCTCATCTGTATAGAATATCTTATTAAATGTTAATTCTGGAAAGCTTTTCTTTAAGTATTAGGATTTATTTCTTTATAAGGGCTTTCAGAATTTGGATGAAAGATTATGTTAATCCAAAGTCCTTCAGTTAAATTTACAAATCTGAAAGTGTATATCCTGAAGTAAAACAGACCTGCATTTAAGAAAGACTTTTTTTCTGGAATAAATATCATAGTTATATTAATTTCAATGACTTACCTCAGTTTACACCTGCTCAGGATGTGATATTTAAAGCATTTTTTTATTTTCTAATCAATACTTTACAGTGAAGCAAGAAAAATTGCATCAGTGTACTTAAATGATGTATATGCAGGCACATCTGTAGTCTCATTTATAAGGGATGTTTGGGGGGTTTTTTCTTTATTTCTCTTCTCTGTCATGGTAAACTGTCCCTTATGCTCAGCTACAGAAAGATCTAGTCCTGCTGCTCTGTCTTGTCCTAAAAAGGAAAGAATCCAATAATAATTGCTGGAAATATTATGGCATCTTTTTTTTCAGGAGGCTGTAGCAAACATGCAAATCACATACCCCAAACTTTTCTCCTCTGCAGAGTTCCCAAAAGAGAAACATGCAGCTAATTTATGCACCCATATCCTGACCTGAGAACAGAGTAAATAACACAGAGCTGAGAAAAATGAAACTCAAAGGAATTAAGTCCTGATTTGTGTCCTTTGCTAACCCCACAGTAAGAGCACATAAGGCAAAGTCTAGAGGGGCAGAAGAAAGCTCCCACTTACTTTCCACCTTCAAGCTATGAATGATAACCTGGTTTATTTGTTGTTCCACTGAAGAGCTGTCTTGCCAGCATTGCAAGGATGTGTCTAGTTAAGAATTCAGTGCAGTGCACAACACACCAACACAAAGGCAAGCAGAGCTCTCTGTCTCAGTATCCCATTGCATGAGCTGTGCCTGCCACAGTGTTTCCCTTTTGGAAGCATCAGCAAAGAGCAGCCCCAAAGAGAATGAAGCTACACTAAACACTTTCACACAGGTTTTGCATTCATGGTCTACCTCATTTTACTTGACCTGGACTTCCCTTGCCCTTCCTGAATACTTCTGCTGCAAGTTCCTGCTCCCTCTGCTCTGCAGTGGCAAAACATGCAGTCTCTTCCTGAAGGCTCATGGATCCTTAGCTCCTGAAGGGACTTGCCTAATCTGTGGGTCAGAATTGAGTGTGATTTCTACTCTTATCATTAGTTTTTGGGGTATCTGACACTGTAGGTTTGCATGTTAGAAAATAGCTGTGCCTTGCTTGAACAGAGCCCACCCTGCTTTTCTTACAATGGTTGTACATTGCCTGAACTTGCTGCTGGTGAATGTAGGTGTGTTCAACACACATCCATCTTCTGGGTGTGAAAGCTCTGTAAAATCAGCCTCATAAACATTATAATGGAAAATGGCCTTTAAAGGTTGAAAAACTTGTTCTGTTTTTCTTGGACACAGCCAGTGAAATGTCTGCCTGATCCACTTCTTACAAAGAATATTTTATAAAATACATCTGCTATCAAAGCTGTGACTCCACCATCGATACCCCACCCCAACCCTTACGATGTGGACAAGTACATGTCAGTGATTTATTAGCATTTAGAGAACACTGCCAAAATCCTCAGCAGAGGTGGGATTTTAAAATCAATCCTCCCAAGGCTGTCCTTGTCACCCCCAGCCAGCCGTGGGTACAAGCCAACAGCCCTGGTGCCTGTGCAGAGAGCACCAGAAGCAGATGTAGTTTTTGTACAAGAAGCCTGTTAATGTTTTATTTTTCATGGGTGAGAGAGTGATTTTTTTTAACCAAGAGTTGTTGAACTGTCTATTTTAAAGTTTACTTTGCACTTTTACGGTGAAAGTGTAAAAATAAGTCTGAGCACTTTGTTGCACAGGGCAGTTGGCTTCAGTTCTATTTCTGATGTTCCCTATCCAAATGTTTCCTATCAGTTCTGAAGTGGACTATGCTGGAATAAAAAAAAGAAAACAAACAGAAATAATAATAAAAAAACCCTCACAAAACCAAAAAACCAACCAACCAACCAACCAAAAAGAACCCAAACAACAACAACAACAAAAAACCCAACAAAACATTCTGGTTTGGAAATACACTAAGCATTGTGAAACAAAATAACTTTTCTTCTGGAAGGAATTCTTGCTTAGGAAATTTTTCTAGGCAGTTTTCCTGTATAAGTTAACTCAAAGAGTTTAATTAGACAGTCTGACTTCGTCATCTCCAACTGCATCTGGCATAGTGATGTCCCTGCAGTGCCCAGTCCTGCTCTGAGCAGGAGGTTGGACTAGATGACCCACTGGGGTACTTTCCAACCTGTATTACTATCCTGTAAATGTGCATCTTACAAACCTATACGTTATTTGGCTCAACAATTTGAAAAACAAAGACAAATAAATACAGTTAAGATTTGCTCAGTGGCTGTTTTGAAGCAAAGAGAACTAGATAATACAAAGTGTGCAACTGTTGGCCTTGTGGGGGAATTAAGAGGTGGGAGACATTTAGGTTTACAGTTTTAAAACTGTCTTAGTGGTGGATATGTTAAAGCTGTGTTGAAGAAAGGAGAGAGTCAAGGGGAAGTTTGCAATTCCCAGGACACAGGGTTAGTTTCTTATTTATAGCAACAGATTTTACAGATGGCCAAGCATTGACATTAGCAGCCACTCTGATGTTCTCTGAATGATGAAAGGAAATTCAGGTGGAAAACAGAAAAACTGACAATAATAACTTCTGATCAAATAAATATAAATTATGACTGCAATTTTTTTTTTTTGGTGAGGGCTGGGCTAAAATAGTCCTTGTGTTTTTTGGTATTTGTAATATCATATACATGCACAGAAGACTGAGGGAGTGGGTGTTGAGATTTTAAGAGGAATATTAGAGTCTAAATCCCACTAACTGCCACAAAGATTCAGCATTAACCTTTTCTAGCCAGTTTACTGCAGTGTGTGACTAAGCACCACTAAATTCAAGGTGAAATAGTGTTTAATTGTATAAGTGATCATTGTAGGGCTTGACTGCAGCACCCAGCTCCTGCTTTGTCACAGGAAAGAAAATCAGAAGTAGACTTGTTCAACAAGAAAATAGGGTTGGCATGTGGGTGTCATTTGATTTCTCCACTTTAAGTGTGTTTAGGGCTGGACAAAGTTTTCCACAGATTGGGAGCAGCACCTGACAACAGGGGGATGTGTTTAACTTGTCCTATCCAGCCAGAAGGTTTTCAGTCCTGAAACAGGCTGATTAAATATGCAAATGTAAAATCCAGTCCTGGGCATAAGGCCAGGAAAAGGTCTGGTGTGGGAATTGGATGTTGGCTGAGCACTCAGTGGAGGAGGAACTGTCACACCTCATCAAGGTGAGCTCGAGAGGACAGTGCCAAGTGAGCTTCCTCACCCTGGGCATTGGAACAGGCATTAGGGCACGGCTGGATGGAGCTGATAAACACAGTGGAACCAGACAAACTCAAGTCTGACCTGACTTCTCTGCCCTCATTAGGAATTCTCTCCTTGCTTTACTTGCCCAGAAGAGATATATGGTTGTAACAGCATTCCCACTTTAATCCTTGAGAATGTTGTGACCTTCAACAAGACAAGAGGGTTCGGTCTAAAGCTGTGCCAGGGGAGGTTCAGGTTGGATATCAGGAAGAAATTTTTAGAGAGAGTGCTCAGCCATTGGAATGGGCTGCCCAGGGAGGAGTGGATTCACCATCCCTGGAGGTGTTTAAGGTGAGATTGGATGAGGCATCAGTGCCATGGGCTGGGAACCACAGCGGGGTTGGATCAAGGGTTGGACTTGATGATCTTGGAGGGCTTTTCCAACCTGGCTGATTCTGTGATTCTGTGACCTTCTCTAGACCCAGAGTTCCTGTGCACAGGTGCATTCATAAATAACTAATGTGATACTTGGAACTGGAACATTTTTCCACTCTGCTGACCTCTGAATGAGAACAGTGACCTGCTGAAGCTGACAAAAGATCAGGCTCTGTTAGAAATGTCCCTTTGGCCAAGATGAACAGTCAGTGTTTGTGCCCAGCAGAGGCACGAGGTGTGCACAGACGTGAAGACTCTGGGGGCAGGTGAAACATCTGTGAACCTGCCAGGAATCAGTAACAGCCATCCTTCCACCACCCTGCTGAGGGGAAGGACTGGGATGGAACTCACAGGAGTGTATTTGCAAGGGAAGATGAACTAGTTGGAGAATGAAGTGTCCTTTACTCACTTTTCTGCTAAGGCTTTAAGTTTCTAAATTGTTAATAGAAAATTTTCACTTAAGTTTTTTTAAAAGTCATGTTTTGGGGATTTAGTTTAATATTCCATAATTCCTTTCACAGTCAGTTACAGAACCCCCACCTACTGCTAAGGACAGCAAGTGGGTGCTTTTCAATAAAGACCCTGTGCTGGAAATGCAAGGGCTGAAAGCACTGCTCACAAAAACACCCATTGCAGGCTGCCTGAGTCTGTGGGAATCAGATGTTTCAGATTAATGAAACGAAATGAAATGCACTATGGTAGCTGTAATAAGCAGGTAGATGCTGTTATTTTTAAATTTATTTCTCAGTGATCTCCAAGGCAGCCGGACAGAAAAGTGCATCTGAAAATTTAGTGGACACCTACTTGTGTTTTGACATGGCTAAATGTAAATCCCTCTGAATATATGGCTTTCTGTCAAATGAGAAGAAAGGAAGGGAAAAAATGATTGTTTTTAATATCTGACTCATCTTTTAAAGCTCTTTTCAAGTGACAGTCTGTAGGAGGGTAATAAGTTATAGAGCAGAGCAATGCGTTGGGAGTCAAGCAAGACACCACTGATCCTACTTAGCTGCCATCAGGCACCTGGTAGGTGTCTGAAGGACAAAGCCATCTGAGGAAAAACAGCATGAGTATAACAAATAAGTTAAGCAGTCCAGAGCAGAGGATTAAAAGTGTCCAAAAACTTTCCCTGTTTCAGATCACACGCTACCAAAGCTTCACTGCCTTTTTCCTTTTATTTTATTTTAAATGTTTTTTTCTCAGTGTTGTTCTACTGTTTCTTTCTAAAATCAGTTGAAGTCACATATTCCATAACCATTATGAAAGAACACCATCCACCCTCTCAGTCTTCCCTCGTGAGCCTTCTCATGCTGATGCCATTATAAGTGTGTCTGGGGTTCTAAATTCCAAACCCTACATCAGCTGGAGATTTGTTGACAGAAAACTTAATTGGCCGATTTTAATGACAAAAGGAGCAACATTGTACCATGGGGATGGTTACTCCAGCCATTTTTCACACGAGCTCATTAAATCTCTCTGTATTTGAAGTTACCTAAAGCCATAGCTGCATTTCAAAACTGGAAGCACTATTGGAAAACCGTATGGATCTTGCTTTTATGAGAAGCCAGCCTTAAATAACCTTGAAAGCAGTCCTAATTTATGAGGTTTGTTATATTCTGAGAAAGGGAAACACACAGTTTTCTCTCTGGAGCTGCTGAGAGTGTCGTTGAATTACTGTAGTACTAGATGTGAATTATGGTCACATTAAGTTAGTTTTGTGCCACAGTGTTAAGTTAGTTTTATGAATTGGGCCTTTGTTATTTAGGAGGCTGGCGTGGGAAGCACTGGGGCTGTCATTAGTCACGCTCATCCATATTTTAGTGTTGCTGTTGGGAAGTCAGTGTGCCAGCCTGTCATAAAGGGCAGACATTTCCGTGCTTACAAAGCTAATTCTTCGTCACAACTCCCTAGATCTTGACCTGAGTGCCAGTCCCAGTTCTGAAGAGGCCACCAAAAAGCCAGTGGCAATCAGCAGGGCTGATAAGATTAGATCAGTTATACAGTGCAGATGTATTTATGGAGTAAAGAGAGAATAAAAATACGTAATCAGACAAGAGAACTTTGAAATGGCTGTGGCCTTCACCCTGTGTGAAGTATATATCCTGTGGGACAGCCATATGGAAATAGGTGTCTTGGCAGTTGAGACAGGCAAAACAAGCTGTTTTATAGCAGCTGAGATGGGAGTTGCTGGTTTTATTGCAGCTGGAGAAGGTATTTGGTCCAGCATAGTTCACCATTCCCCTTTCTCTTTGCTCCTAGTGAGTCCCCCCCTTCGAAACCCTTTGTCTTCATGGCACAGAACGCAGCCCTTGTTGGAGAACTGACTTTCCTAAGGCATGAGCTGCTGCTTCCTGAACTATTCCAGCATTCCAGAACTATTCCATGTGTTTGCTTCAGCACTGCAGGAAGCAGCAGCTCCAGCAGCCGTCACCGTGAGGGAGAGCAGGGGAGGGAGTGAAGGTGCCTCTGGAAGCTGCTGGGAGGGAAGAGGGTGTTCAGCTCAGACTGGAAGGTGTCCTTGCAGTGATCCCAGGAGGTGCAGCCAGCCAGGCTCCTTCAGGGCTGCCCAGGCTGGGTATCCAGTGCTGGAGCTGCTGTGTGTGGAGCCACTGGTGGGATGTGGCAGCGCTTCCGACAGGAGGCAACAGGGACCAAACTCTGCTGCGTCTGTGGGTGCCACCAGGAGTGACACCAAGGCACGAAGTGGGAATGCAGTCCCTTGCTGGACCTCTGAAAGGAGCAGCTGCTAAATCCCACACAGGGCTCAGCACTGAGGGACTTAACTGTACGTGGAGTGCAGTGAGGCTGCACAGGAGCTGGCTGTGAGCCAACACCATATCTGAGCAGCATTTCTTGGCCTATTTAAAAAGGATGAGTTTTGAATAAGAAACTCCTTTGATTCTCCTGCAGAACAAAGAGGTGGCAGAAAGTTTGATGGTCAGGAACGTCAATGGTCTGGCATCCTGGTCAGCAACCTGGAGATGAAAATGCAGCACACAGTTCAGAAAAAGAGCATTTAGGAAAGTTGTCCTGGGTCGTGCAAACTCCATGGCATAAGAGACAAGCATGGAGAAGCAGAAAGGACACCTGCTTTTGAGTAGAGACCAAAGCTCTCAGCAGGTATCTGAGGAAAGGAAAAGTCACCAGATGCATCTGTGGGGTGTACCCAGCCAGTGGGAAAGCTGCTTCTGTCACTGCTGTGGGGGCAAAAGACAGCTCTCCCTCCCCAAGCAGTGACCCGTGTGACACTCACTGCGTGGGATGGACACGGAACTCATCGCTCCCAACAGCTCGGGGCCACCTCACGTGCTCCAGGGAACACACACAAGTGTTCCTGGCTGCAAACATAATCCTCCTTTGCTGAAAGGCGGCTCCTCTTCCTCAGCATAGGAAAGTTAATTGGTCCTTTTTTTGGTGAAGTACAGTCAAGACAAATAACTTGAAGAGAAAACTGAATCCTTGGGGTGTTAAAAAAATTTCTTCAGTGAAAGGGAGCCCTCGTGCCACAAAAGCAGTGCCCCTAAAAAGATGAGTTGTCCAAAGGACGTCATAAACCCAGAACCAGTTCACCAAACTCCCAAATACAAATGCACAGAAACACCCACATTTGCTGTGTTAGGGAGTGGCCGTGACCCCAGAGGGCTGTGCAGCCCTTCAGGACCTCGACAGGTTGGAGATGAGCCTTTGGAAACTGTTCTGCATCCCAGAGGGGTACCTTTGCTTTCAAACACGAATATTTCAGAGAAGGAGCTTAAGCTCCTTCACTTGATTAATGTACTTTGCCACAGATGATGGAGCCTACGGAACCTTCTTACATAAATCTCTGGGAACAAAGTGGATAATGTGGTTTATGGAAGCTGCTCCTCTACATTAGAATGCTTCTAACATGAAACAGAGTAACTTTCACTTTATATTGGACCAGTTTTTTGTGTCAGTGTTTAGATTCTGAGAGAATTCTTTGTCACTTAATCAAAAGTAATGGGTTTTGTCCTGCTTCACAGGTTGATGCAGAAGGAACACAGGAGGATGTTTTTCTGGAAATCTGCAAGACAATTGACTCTTTTCTGAGAAGGGAAGAGGCAGCACTTTCCACAGAAGCGCAGTGATGGTGTGTACTGGTGTGTACTGGTGTGTACTGGTGTGGACACAGCCTCACCTCACATGCACCCACAGCCAGGAGTGCAATGCTGGTCGAAGCAACACTGCTTTCCTGAGGGGTGTCTGGAATGTGTGCATGTGCTGTGTTCCTCTAGATGAAATCCTTTCTCTCTGTGCTGCCAGTCCACTCCATAGACAGTGCTCCGTGTGCCACCCCCACTCTGAGAACTGCAGGTTGTTTTCCTGGCTGTTTGCTCTTCACGGGTTCCAAGCAGGCAGGTGAGCAGCAGCTCTGGGTTGTATTTCATGCTCTCCTGCCTTGGATGGGGAATCAGGCAGTGCCTGGCCAGCAGGGAGCTCTCCAACCCCCTCACACACTGCTCAGCACACTGATGTTAAGGTGACTGCATCCAGGTTTCCCATCAGACATTGTTTTAATTAACAGTTTTAATTTTTGGGGTGTCACTGAGCTTGTTCTTGGCCTTTAGTGACTAAACCCTGTTCTCTGTCACATGCAGCTGTAAGACAGCTGGAATTAGTTAAGCTACAAGTTGAACTTTTCACACATCCCCAGAACACCATTACAACAAGGAGAAAAATTAATTGAGGATACAGTTGAATATCATGGAATTCTGTCAACCCATCATCGTGGTGCAAACACCATTTTTGAGAGAGTCTTGTTTCCTGCTGGGAATTGCAGGATTTTATAACTGACTGCCCAGTTCTGTGAGCTGAGAACAATGGTTGTGTTGTACAGTTCAGTGTGTGAGCCAGTGATGGTCCATGTGAGCAGCAGTTGTGCCATAGCTGTTAAAGTCTGCACGTGAAGGTGACTGAGCCAGAACCTACCATGTCACCTTGAAATCGTACTTGGGGAAGCATTTCAAATGCAAAATTCACATCATCATCATCTCTTGTCTTGTACTGCCATTGCCAAAACCTGGGGAGGAGGGTGTGTGTGTGGGGGGGGGGGGGGGTCTGGTGGGGTGGGAAACCAGCAAAAAACCAACAAAAAAGGAAAATGTCAGGGATTATTTGATTCCTGTTGCTTGCATCTTTAGTAAGTCATTTATCTGTAATAACTGCAAAAAACTCTGTAAAAAGTCAAACCGTATTTCCGTTGGGTTAACCCAAATGTTGTGGAGTTTCTCTGGTATCCTGACAGCTAAATAAAAAGCCTGTTTGACATTCCTGTAAAGTAATTGCATCCTGTTACTTCTGGATGAATTCACAGTGAAAGTGGGTTGCATGATTGCTCGTACTGTCCAAGTTGTACTTTATGCAGCAGATTTGCATTTTTAAAGTTGCCTTTCTTGTAATGAAGACATAATACAAATAAAAACGTACAAAAATGAGGAGGAATGACTTCTGTTACAGTATATGTGGGTTTAATCCTTTTCAAAGCACAGTACATGACTTGAAAATATAGCTCAAATCAGCATGCTTACAGAGTCTGTCCTTTTTCCAGTCAGGGCCGAGTCTTCGTTCTCGTTTTCTTCCTTAGCATTCGCCCTGTAAATGCTAATTCGATTATTTTTAAGGGTCTTGTTTTACACATGTTCTTATCCTTCATATCCTGGATGTTCCTTCTTTTCCTGGGGTCCTTCTACAGCCTACATTTTACCTCTGATGCTCTGGGAAGTGCTTCTCCAGCCCAGCGCTGAGGGAGCAGCGGCGTCGGCAGCACAACATCAGCTCAGCCAGGCCGGGGTGGGGAGGGAGCCCTGACCCCCAGCAGCTGCTGCTGTTGTTTGGTTTGTTAAAAGTAAAACACTCTGGAGTTACCAGGAAGTTGCAAATTCACCTGGGGAGGTTTCCTGGATTTCTAATCACAGCAGAAGTTCTAAAGTGTGGATCTCGTGCTTGGTGCAGGATGGGAACAAAGGCAACGAGCAGCTGCTGTTTGGTTGGTTGAGGGGGGAAGGGGGAAGTTTAAAATCTAACTATAAAAATTATTTAACATACAGTTTCAGTTTAATTTTTCTTCTTTCTGCTTCTTTTTTTCTGTGGAAAAACCAAAAAAGAAGCCCATGCTTGATTTGGTGTATGTGCATTAGATACCTATTTGCATATGTTCATAAAGTCTGCAAGAGAAATAGCTGTATATGCATGCAGAGGAAAATATCAATATTTATACATATTCAATAAAAGAGGACTTATCCAAGACGCTCCTTTCCTGGGTGATTCAGACTTAAAACTATCCTTCTGCTTCCAATCTCATTCCAGTGATACCGTGATGTTTGGTTCTTTCCCAGCTGTCCTAAACTGATGACTCTTTTCTCTAATGTACTTTCATTATTTTATTCCAATAATTTTTCCAGGATATCAACAGAAAATGAGTATTACCACAGATTGTCTCCCTGATAACACACCTTCACCAACTCTAGTTTCCTATAAAGACCATGAATGATGTGGAAAGCACATTTTTGTGGTATTAGAGAGCCTCTCAGAGCAGTATCTTTTCCAATTTAAAATACATCCTGTGAGGTTTTGTGTTACATTTTTTTAGGGCTTATTAAATTTATCTAAGTATAGTGAAATATGTTCACAGATGCTACTTGCTCAATGTTTTAGTAACTGTACTGTATTACCTTCTAAATAGATTAAATGCCTAAAAATTATTGTTTTTCTGAAGCAGAAAATAGCTACACCTAAAGTTATTGCGAAACTTCGTACTGATCCATCTATAATTACAGTTACATGGTGCAGCCAGCCAATTATCCTTCTTATTGCCACCTTTTTAAGTCAAATTAGTCTGTTTTCTACCTAATTGCTCTGAGTATTCTAGTTTCAAAGCAACTGGAAGTCTTTATTACAGTTATAAAATAACCAAGTGTTTCTGAATCACGAGCTATACATTTCAATAAAAAATATATATTAAGTAAAATATGTCACAAATAATTACAAAGCCTCTCAGACAACGGCATACAGGGTGTACCAAGGCCACTGAAACTGGAATTTCCCGTGGTCTGGCAGAGGAGTCTGTGAGATGTGAGGACTGAAATGCTCCTCCTGCCCCGGTGCCAGGAGAGCAGAGGAGGGCACTGGGCATCCTGCAGGGCTGGCACAGGGAGGGGCTGTGGGACGGAGGAAAAATCTCCTCTGAACGTTTTTCCACCTCGATTTTAAAAAGTCAGAACTTACACAGAAAGGAAGTCACGGCAAGCATTCTATATATAAACAGACTGGATCCACATAGTTTATTTCTCACAGTTCTCCTGACAATTGAACATTATTTAAGAACATACTGTATACACAGATAAGAAGGAACATACAAAATGTTTTAAATGATGCACAACAAAATCCAGCAGTATAAAAGAATGCATGTGAACCCTTGCTCACTGCTCAGGCTAAATTTAATCACTGTTTAAATAGTAATAAAAATACAATCTTTCATGGATCTTGTGCAGACTACAAAAGAGGAAAAATTATTACCATATATATGATTTATATTAGGCAGTTTTCTTTGATGAGTTGCACTAACAACTCCAAATACAGAGGCAGAAGGCTGTGTATTTTATTTTAAAGGAGTTAATGTCGAGTATTAGAGACTTTACACAGTTACTAGCACTGGCACTTTTCACCATATTTTGTACACATCACATGATCATCTTATATAACATTACATTTAAAAAATATATCTGAGTGACAATTTTATAACATTCACACACCATGAGCTGGTCAAGGAAGCAATGCCACAGTTGCCCCCTGTAGTGCTTCACTGTTGGTAAATAGAGTTCATCGTGGTTTTAAAAAAAAATTAAAAAAATTGAAAGTCAACATGATTAAGCAGCTCCGATTTAATAAAGGCCTGTAACCAACCATCGCTGAGACAGTGAGGATTTGTAGAGTACAGCCTAGAAGCAAACACTGTCATTGGTTAAAACCTTGCCTAAAGAAGTCAGTTACTGTGCTGAAAACTATTTCACAACAAAACTGCAAGCTACTAAACTTTTTATATAAATACTTCATCTCCTCTGATCTCATTATAACCGAGTTCTTCAAAGCCTTTGGAATTTACTCTGTCTTTAATGTGTGCTCTCAATTCTGGCTCACCCTTTTGAATGTTTTTGTTTTCTTTTGTTTAGATTCACCACCTAAAAGTGTCTAATGTGGTGAGAAAAGTCTCCCAGTGAAACCTTCTGCACACTAGGAATGTTCAGCTGCTGTTCAGTGATCTAGAACCATGACAGCTCGAAGCTGTAGTTTGACAAGTACACCCAGGAAGCTGTCATGCTGTGAGTGACATTTCAGGGAAAGCAGAGTCTTTCCAAAATGTGCACGGAATTAACAATGGTGCCATTGTTATTTATTCAAAGAGGACAGTAAACCCAAGCTGGTAGATCTGCTTCCCATGTCATCTATTTGCTGGAAAGTAGTTTGGGTCAAGATAATTGTAACTGGTGCCCTGGGACATGCAGTAGTCTCTGTCTAAAAATGTCTCTGCTCTGTAAATAGGTTCTAACTGGTGATCTTCCTTATGAATCTCTGTTTCATGCAGACTGCAAGGGAAAGAAAAAGATAACAGTTTAAAAGTCAAATATTGTCCTTAACTTCCAGAAACAGTGATCATATGAACTGATTCATACCAAAGTGGATCCCAGTTCATTCATAAAGTGTAATTCCCCCCCTCTATTCAACAGTACCAAACCTATCTTATTAAAAAATAAATTATACATCCAGAACTTGTTAAAAAATATATCTCCCCACAAATACAAGCTAATACTTGATAAAAAAGTATCTTCCACTTTCCCCAGCACAGGGTGTGTGTCCTGTGCTGGAGCAAAGATTCCCAACATGCAGCAATTACACAGAAGGGAGATCTGATCTCCTGACAAATAACAAGTAAAAGCAGATGCTGCTCACCAGTCAGAACAGGAATCACAGAAATCCAGGGACATTTCCTGAGGGCAGTCCTGGCAGTGCCACCGGACACCCTGGATGGGTTCGATGCCGCAGTTGTCGCACTGTGGAGCAGATGGAGAGCACTGAAATCCCGGCGACTGCAGCACTTCTGGTCCCAACAGGACACACCAAAGCTCCCCATGGAGAGCCCTGAATGTGTCCCTGTTCCTGTGTGTCCCTGTTCCTGTGTGTCCCTGTTCCTGTGTGTCCCTGTTCC